AGGTTATATATATGAGCAGCGAACGCCAGTTAGTTTCATCACGACGATCGTAACGATCAGATCATATTACGTCATCAACATCACTGACTGTAAATTACTAGTGACTTAGGTAAAATGAAATAATGTAAACTAATACAAATTAAGTAGTGTATAATTTCTCCACCGCACGGACACCGCAATCCACTGTGTTTTAATAGGCCAGAGATGTTAAGCTAGGACTTTATATACTCATAGATGTACTGACTGTTTTGTTATATTTCATTGAACTTTGAAGTCTTTATTAAATGAAATATTTGAAACGAAAAAATGGAACTTGGTTATGATTTACAGGAATGTGAAGTAAATTATCAAGGGTGTTTAAATACATGCGATGGGCTGAGGATGCCCCCCCCCCCCTTTTTATTATGTGGACGGATGTCATGAGTAGTCCTGATAATTTTATAATTTATTGAATTTACACGGGATGGAAACATTGTAAGCTGATTGGCATTTGACAGGGTGCTGAGGAAGCTTACAATTTTTGGTGTCAGAAGTGGGATGTCCTGCCATATACGAGGACATCTAGGATACGAACCCGTACTTTAATACCTGTCAAGTACTGAAATAGAGTGGATTGCGGACTGTCGTGTGGTGGAGGAAAAAAAATCTATTTTTAAAATAACGATGTACATATGTTATTGTTACTGTTTTTATAGTTAAAAATGGAGGATGCTACTTCGCCGGATCCTGAAGTATTTATAAATGAACATAAGGAAAATGTTCAGTTAGGCCAAGGGGACAAACAGATGTTGTGGGAGGAACACTGATGACGAATATTTAATGGCAAATGAAAATCCTTTGGAAAGAGATGACAGTGATGACAATGACGACGAAGGAGGACATAATTTCCGTCCATCTGATTATCAGTTAGCTGACGACGCACAAAGTGATCACAATCGCATTTCTACACTTATGATCAAACCCGAACCCTACGATGGAAAAGAAAGTTGGGAGGAATACTTTTCTCACTTTCAAGACTGCGCTGAACTTAGCCACTGGGACGACAGGACTAAACTTCTTTTCTTAGCCGCTAGCTTACGTGGACAAGCCAGGACTTTCTACATGAGCCTAACACTTGAGGAAAGACGCACGTTTAAAATTCTTGTTCAGCGTATGGACCAGAGATTTGGTAGTTCAAAGCACAAAAATAGGTGGCTTTCAAAACTGGAAATGCGTAGGCGGATGCCTGGAGAAAATATTGCAGATGTTGGAGACGATATACGGCAATTATCACAAAAAGCTTACAGTAACTTGGACATTGACGCTCAGGAATCACTGGCCCTGAACCACCTTTACAAAATTATTCCCGTTGAAATGAAATGCCGTTGTATTGACAAGGAGTGTAGCACTGTTGCAGAAGCGGTAGACGTCATTGAGAGATACGAGTCAATAATGGGGGATGGGGATAAAAAGAAAATAAATGTTAGACATGTGGATCAAGAACAAGCAGTCAAACAGCCCACTGGAGAGCAAAAATCAAATAACTTAGAGGATACAATCAAGTCACTAATCAATAGATTAGAGAAACTGGAAAGTGCACAGAGAATGGAACCTTGGAAGGGCAATAACTCTTGGACTTGCTTCATTGCAATTCACCAGATCATCTCATGAAGGACTGCCCAGACCGATGGACAAGAGGACAACAGATGACCCCGACCTCTAACCTGAATAAAAGACATGGCAGTGGAAACATGAGAGATAACAAATATCATTAAGTCAGGAGTCGGCACAAGAGGAATGTCTTTCTGTTGGAAATGAACATACTGGGAATGGCCACACAGGGGATATAACTCTCTTACGGGACAATGGATTTTATACAAAAGGAAACATATTTGACAAAACAATATATTTTCTAGGATAGTGGATCCTGCATGGATTATTTAGTTAAAAATTTTACTAAACTCTCAAAGGAAACTAGCTCTAACATACGGCCTGCAACCTCTGACATTCATGATGTAAATGGGAATTTAATAGAGAACATCAGGACCATTGTACTGGATGTATCTTTTGGGAAAGAAGCATTGCCACACGAATTTGTAATTTGCAAAATTTCACAAGATAGGATCCTTGGAAAGGACTTTCTTCTTAACTACAGGTGACATCACAAAGATAAATTGCCAAAGGATGGGTTTGCTGTATTAACTTCAAAATGAAAAGGACCTTGTAACAGGACAACTAGATGACTTGACTTAATTTATAGGATAGGTTGATGATATATCGAGGCATCAACTTGCAACCCTGGTTCAGGAAGTTCATACCACAAAACTAAATGATGTCACAGTAGTTTGATGATACCAGATTTTTTTTTTGTTTTATTATATTGACACATGTCTAAGGTGGGTGTTGTCCTAGGTGGTGCACCACACTAGGTGAATGTGTAGATAGTGACTGGCCATTACTATTATTACACATTAGGACCTCAGTTGTCTAGGGCTGGGCCGCACTGCAGGTGGACTGTAGGGCTGGGCCGGACTGTAGGTGCATGGACATCAGTTGTCTAGGATTAGACGGGACTATGGGAAACAGTTGTCTAGGGCTGGGCCGGACTGATACTTTTGTTGATTTCAAAATCATTACTACTGGAATAAAATTATAAATGGATAATTGATGTCACTTCCTGATCCTGGGAGGAATCTACAAAAACAATGAAGAATAAGACCCGATTGATTGACTGACTGATTCCCATAGGAACCTACCTTTATCAACTACATGCATTCAATTCTAACAAGAATATCCAAATCTTGTACTAGCTTATGCACAGGGAGCTGTATACTTTATACTTCTGGTGGATGGTGGATTTTAAAACAGACCTGTTTATCTGTAGCAAAGCTAAGAGGGGAAGAGATGGAGAAAAAAGAAGCAGAGAGACGAGATGGAGAGAGACGTAGCAGAGAGAGACGAGATGAAGAGAGACGTAGCAGAGAGACGAGATGGAGAAAGAAGTAGCTGAAATGGCATCAGACGAGCAGGCAGATGTGTGAGAATTTCCGAAAGAAGCGGTTGAATGCAGGAAGAATAAAGATTTCATTGATGATGGAAGTAAGAAACTAGCAGAACCAGACGATTTTGATTAAGACTGTAAATTCAGGAGAATTTGACTTTTTAAGTGGGGGAAAGTGTAATATGCATGGGGGTTGGACTTTAGAATATTGCATATTAATTAATCACAGGCTGATGGTGGAGTGTTTGTAAGTGAAGTAAAGTAGCATCCAGTTGTAAATCTATAAGAAATGTTTTATTGTTGATGTTATTTCATTATCTTATTGTTTACTTGAATTATTGATGCAATACACATTGCACTTCGACATTGTATTAATGTAAACAAATGCTGTTTTTGTGTTACTAGACGATCTAGCGAGATATTGTTGAACAGACAGTAAGGGACAGTGATACTGAGATGTTGTATGTCAGTTTTTCATCATTATCTACCATATTACGACTGTAATTTACTTACTTATTTCAGCATTATCACATGTGTTGTAAATTGGGCGCCTGCCATCTTTCTTACGAAGAAATTAGTCAGGTGACATAAACATTGTTGTTTTACAATTGATAAGATCGAAATAACACTGTCCGTGTCCTCAAATATTCATAATTGATACTTAAATGTTATTTTATTGCAGTATTGTCATTTAATTATGCTGTATTTGACGAAATGTTTTGGAACTTGAATGTGTAGCGTAATACTTGTGTGTTTGCATTATTGTTCGGTATTACGACGCCATGGATTGTGTGTGTCCGTTTTATTACAGATTGTTTGTTGAACTTGTTTTCTAATGTATATCAAATAGAATTTATAGCTCCCACTTTACATGTAGAAAGGACATTTTGAGCGATGTTATTTTCTTTGTATTACACAAAATGTATGTAAAGTAGTTCCGAGTTGCTCCAGAAAGGACAATTATTCATTGGTTGTTGTGATCACGTGACCATTTATGGAAGGTTATATATATGAGCAGCGAACGCCAGTTAGTTTCATCACGACGATCGTAACGATCAGATCATATTACGTCATCAACATCACTGACTGTAAATTACTAGTGACTTAGGTAAAATGAAATAATGTAAACTAATACAAATTAAGTAGTGTATAATTTCTCCACCGCACGGACACCGCAATCCACTGTGTTTTAATAGGCCAGAGATGTTAAGCTAGGACTTTATATACTCATAGATGTACTGACTGTTTTGTTATATTTCATTGAACTTTGAAGTCTTTATTAAATGAAATATTTGAAACGAAAAAATGGAACTTGGTTATGATTTACAGGAATGTGAAGTAAATTATCAAGGGTGTTTTACATGCGATGGGCTGAAGTGTGGACGGATGTCATAGTAGTCCTGATAATTTTATAATTTATTGAATTTACACGGGATGGAAACATTGTAAGCTGATTGGCATTTGACAGGGTGCTGAGGAAGCTTACAGTACTCATGAAAACCTTCTTTTTCGACAATTGTTACAAAACTTACAAAAAGTGTGTTCAAGTTCTGAAACTGAGTGCATTAAAGACAATGGAAAATTAGAAAAATTTCGTAAATCACTTACGCGTGTACCTTCTAAATTACGCCTGTCTTCCGCACGTAACAAATAAACAGGAAGTGAGACAGAATGTCCTAAAAGAAAAGAGACGGACGGAAACGGATATATTTGCGCTTTTCTATTCCGAAAGCGAAAAGGTCCCAGTTTTAAAAGTTTATGAAAACGCTAAAACAACATAACAATAAAAATATTCTGAAAAAAATAACTTAGTTTTTTTATAAAGAAAAAAAAAGTAGAAAAAATAAATTACGAAAGTATATTGTAAAGGGCCCAATCAGAATTTATGTGGGGCTATATATGAAACGTTATATGTGGCACTATCTTAAAATTTTCATAAACATTAACTTTATCAAGGAAAAAAAAGTATTTAGCGTTAAACTTAATAAGAAAATGTTTATGCAATTTTATGCCTAATTACATATTTTTGTCCAAACTGGAATTTTTACACTTCAACTGCTCAACTTTCGATTTCGTCTTTATTATCCCTTTGTCGCGGTTTGAGCCTGTTTAGCAAGATCAGGTAGTTCGCCATGCATCTTTCAGTCTAATTTATTGGAAGACTTGGTTAAAAAAGAAGATCAGAATGTGAGATTTTATCATGTAAGTGTTTCATATTTAAATAAACGATATCTCTCTCCGTAGACTCCTCTCTCTCTCCATTTATCTCTCTCTCCACAATGCTAGTCTACTTTCGTTTTTCTTGATCAGATGATTCACTAGATGCAAGTACTGTATACTAGTATACATGATGACGACAAGTATTACTGCAACAGTTCTTCTTATAATTACATTGATCATCGCCGCCAAAATCATTGGTAAGAATTTATTTAATTTGTGAAGTAACTTTTTTGGAGTTATCGAACTTTTTACAGAAGTGGCACATTTTGTTGATAAAAAGTTGTAAAAAAGTTCTGATAATTAATTATGTCGATGATACAATAAAACCTCAACACATTTTGTCAATCAGTTGCTTCCTTTTGCTATTTCTGTTATGTATTCGTCTATTGATCAATTGTGGGGGGGGGGGGTATCAACTCGTGTAAATTAAGCAGATAGTCAAACTAAGTGTCGATCAGAGCAAGTGGTTTGTTCAACTTTCTTTTGTTGTTCACAGACGAATCCTTGTTTTACACATATCTGACTGGCACACACGACCAGGTGCGAGCTAAGTTCATTTCTGTGACGTCATTCCTACCCAGAGTAGAACTAGTTGATGGTACGGTGACCTACACAGTTCTGTGTTTCCTGGCTCTTCTGTCCCTCGCCCTGTTTTGGACCCTCTGTTTCCTGTTGGTCAAACTTCTTGTCTATCCTTGGATAGCAATAAATAAAGTAGTAGAACTCATTGTCAGTGTGAGTATAAATTTTAAATTTCAAGTTCTCTAAGATTAAAAAAGATTAAGTAATAGATAATCAACATTAATTTATTAAAATTGTTAAAACTACAATAAATTGCAGTCTGTTTGATGCACGTCATTAATTGCGTGTTTTGTTGCAGATGGCAGTTTATTTGTTCTCCTCGATGTCCAATGCTGTGTTGATCCAGATTATAAAGTTTGCCATAGTGCCTGTTACAGCGATAATTGTTTATTTCAAGTGGGACAAATTTTCGCCCTACTTTTACAAAACTTGAATAGTTGATATATAATTGCATTGGCATGGTCCATGGTATGGTCAACATTTGGCAAAGCCCATTTTTAAATCATCGACACACATTGGCTATTTTATCTAGTTTCATTCTTGAAGGGTTTTTTTTTTATTGATTCGGGATTTCATTTTTTTTTTTGGTCTTCGATTCTTCACTTTTTTTTAAATTGAGGTTTTCCGTCAATTCTGCTGACTAATCAAATCATTATGAAAATTAAATTTAACTGCAAAGAAATTACTTTGTACATGTATCAGGCAAAGCTTTTATTCTGCGCAAAAATGAAGCTCAATCAGCTGTTAGATGTAATTAGTTTAAAAGTCCCAACATGGAAGAATCCAGGATTTTTCTTAGAAAGGGGAGGGGCATGTCTCAAGAAAAATCCGCACTCCATTCCTCTTGATCCGCATCTGTATAAAACAATTCTTGTGGGAGCTAACGTATAGCTACATCACTACATGTACATATTTATGACAAGGCTGGACTCTGTATACTTCGGTTACAAGCGGATTTTCCAAAATTTGACAAAAAAATTGTTCAATTTGAACCTTAACAAAAATAAATAAATAAATAAATAAAAACAACAAAGATTCCACTTGCTTCTTGTGTTTTTTTATTTTCTGTAGCGATAAAAATTTTTATCTTTCTTTGTGTATATAATCCTGAACACTCGGCAATTCCTTGACTACACAGGCGCTTAAGGCACTTCGGTTCAAGTTCATATCTGTTGCGTCGTACCTGAAATAAATTACAAAATATAAATCAAATGCAGATTCGATTGCTATAAAAAAGAATAAAAAGTATTCGTAAGAACTGTAGCTCGCAAGTCTGAAAAAATAGGGACGGAAGTTTTATATAGTAACTTTTTCAGTAAACGGCAATGTGGGACGCTTACCGGTACTTAGTCTATACAAAGAATTTTACACAAACTTACCATTCATCGGTAGAGGCATCGTAACATTCAACGTTAAAGATGGTTGTTACTCCGTTAAAACCACCAATGGCAAACACCATTTCATCAATCACCTGGAGTTTCATTTTAAAAAATAATTTTAAAAACTCTCTACATTAACCTAATTAACCATGTTCATTCATTTTTTTTTATTTAACAACTGAACGATTGATGCCAATGGAAAAAAAGTTAAGAATACATAATTCAAGTTTTTAAAACTGCCATTTTCTGAAGTATCACAAAAATCTAAGTTAAATAATAAATATATGGTTGAATGTTATCGCAAGTTTTAAAGCCTTTATAAAATAAATGTCTTTACCTCGATGGCGAAATTACTTCTTGGATTGAACATCTCCGGAATGGTCTTCCATCTTTTGGATTTAGGACAATATTTTTCTCCCGTATTCATTCGGGTGATTCCGTTAAAGCCGCCTAAGGCGTAGATTTCCTCTTTATAGGCTATGACGCCTATGCCACTGCGCCTGTTCCTCATAGGCTCGAGCAGTGTCCACTGATTGGTATTGGGGTCGTATTCTTCCGCGGTACTAAGGCACTCGTGACCGTTGAACCCTCCACAGATATACACTTTATCTTTATAAAAATAATTACAGAAGTAGATGAATTATTATTTTTTCTCTGCAATGTTCAAAATGCGTTTTAGGAAGAATATTTGGTGCTTTGCATTAAGTGTTCAGGAAATATGAATTAAACATGTATACTAGAGGTGAATAAGATCCTTAAAAATGAAAACATTATAGACTAGTGTTAAATATGTAGACTAATAACAGAGAACAGTCTTCAAAAGTCTTTGAGTAAGAAGGATCTTATAAATAACGAACCGACATTAACTTCATTGCTAGCTTAATTTTTTTATATATACCGTTGAGCGTGGTGGCGCTAGCATCGCTTCTCCGGTGGTTCATCGGTGACACAAAACTCCACTGGTTTTTGGTGGGAAGAAAGCGTTCGACAGTATTCTGTCTCATCTGGCCATCATATCCCCCCATCGCGTATATACGGTCTCCCAGAACAGTGGTGCTGACATAACACCTGTAAAATGTATTCAGATAATAATTAAAAGGAATCACTGTCTGGTTAGTATAGTATGCCAGGGCATCAACGATAGTGGGAAACGTAGAATAATTTGCATACCGGGCGATTTATTTAAAATATATTTTATAATTATGACGTAATGAACTTTTGTGCTATTTATTCATGTACGAGTACCTCTTGGCATTCATTGGCGCCACTTCTTTCCATTCTTTGGTCATCGGATTAAAGCTGCGCACGCTGTTGAAATATTCTACGCCATCAAATCCTCCTATGACGTAGATGATGTGATTGACAGTTGACGTGCCGTGGTATGCTCTAGGACCTTCAATACAAGGTTTTTGGAAAGTGAATTTACATTTACTTCCATTTTTAAATTTTTCTAACGGTTTTATTAGATGTTATTATTATTTTACAATACTTTTGTTTAATGTAATGGAGTCTAAATGAGCATGGAAAAAATGGCAAATGGAACATTTTAATGGTGCTCACTTTATCTTAGATTTTTTAATTACTGTCATGAGTTGCACTTTTGAAATGGCAATATTGACAGGCTGAACGTCCGTCCCGATTTTTTCAGACTAACGAACTAAATGCCAAACCGCAACGAGCTATATCAAAGATGTACATGCGACAAACATCTACCATATAGAACTTTATTTACACCTAGTTTCTTAGAAGGCGAGAATTGTCTGTCGTGTTATCAATTAGTATTTCTATACATTATACAAGAAAGGTGATCTTCTTAAGTAAACCATCAAAACTATTGAGAGCAATGTGTAACTCGTTCAAAAATGTTATGTGAAGATTATATCTGATATTCATAAATTATTTAAGTATACTTTGCAATATAAAGTACTAATTAATCCACTTATTCATGTATTCGGTTTACAAACCTGTGTCTACAGCATCACAGATGATCCATCGATCCGCCCGCGTGTCGTACGTTTCTACAAGATTTGTAGGAGATCCGCCACTCCACCCACCGATGACAAATAAGATTTCATGTGGTACGCGAGGTTTGGCTAATGGATTATTTAGATCTAGTTCTTTATCTTCATCCATGTCCAAATCGTAAAGAAACTTGAGAGTTTCAATGATGACAGGTTTACAAGAATCATTGTCTTTGATATATGGATGAACTTTGACCTTTTCCACGAAATACTGGGTGGTTAAAAGCCCGAGCCTAATAGTTTTCAATAGTCGGGCAATATATTCTTTCCTTGTATCGTGATCGTAGTCGATCCATCGCAAGACGGCGTCAAAAACGAGCTCTTCGTTTCTTACGTTCAACTCATCTGAGGATAGAATATCGCAAATTTCATCGATATCCAGTTGTAGATACTCATTACTGAAGGTTAAGACATCGGCGATATTTAACATCAGATATCGAAAGGCAGCTCTTTCCAAATTGTGGCAAAAATAAGTTCTCGCGAATCTCCGTATCCCGATGCAATTTTCCGGCGTCAGTTCGGAGATAAGGAAGTCGCAGCAAAGTTTGACCAGGCCCATAACATGAAACTGGTCCGCGGCGGGTAAAAGACGCTCGATGTTTTCTGCCGTCACGGCAGCGTCTCTGGTGTATGCAAAGTCGATTATCAAACTCATAATTTCGGCAGAAACTCCTGGGATGACCACTTCCCGGGTATTGGTATCGAACAATTCATTTGTGAATAGTGTTCTGAAATACTGACTACAGGCCGACATGATGTTTCGATGAATTGGGAATTCTCTGTTTTCTACTTTTATGATTGCATCACATAACTGTCCACTTTTGCGCAATTCCCAGAGAATATTGCACGCTTCTACACTAAACTTCTTTCCTACAGTACCATCCATTGCATGCGAATTAGGAACTTCGTCTTCTTCCATGGTTTTATTTCATTTCGTTGCTAAACTATTTTCCAACTGATTGTGACGTAACAAAATGAAAGCGATTTTGTTATTGTGACGTCACATATATTGTGACGTGAAAGAGAACCACACATAATTACTGCAGTGTAAATGTCGGTAAACACGAGTCCGTATTTTTGAAATTACGTCGATCTTTTTTTTCTTAAAAATTAATATGCTCAAATATAGTATGTTATTGTTTACATTTCTTTAATTTTCAATTTAAACCACTTGTGCTTAAAAATAAAAAAAATAAACAAATAAACAAAATTTAAAATAAAAACGCATAAAAAGAACCTTCGACTAAATTATTAAAAGGATATTGAGGTTAATTAAAACTTTTTATCTTTCATGCAAGTTTCTTGCCAATTTTTTTAAGTACAATTATCATCTAGCATGTTTCATTTCAGGAAATGAAATTTTGTACACAATGGTCTCTAATATATTTAAATTGCAGATGATATCGACTGAATTTCAGTAGGGCTCACAAAGAATGACTGCACTTAATTAAGTACGTCATTTGGAACCTTTTCGGCTATCCATTTTAAGCTTAAAATTACAATATATCGGTAAATTAATATATGATTAATGTGCAAGCATATGGTTTTGATATTTATCTCTAAAAATTTTTGTCATACATATTTCTATAATTACAGAAAATGTAATTGAAAAGAACATGTAAAAGCCTTAAATTCCGGAAATTTGAACGGGACCACTTTTGAATCTAAGGTATCCGCAAATAGGCGGAGACATTTAAACCGCGTGGTTGTGGAATGTAAACATTAGCACATATGATTTTTTCGAAATATGAATTGAAATGGAGAAGAGAGAGAGAGAGATCGTGTTGATTTTATAGTGCACAATTATTAAATGATTCTAATGTTAAGGGATGGGGTAGATGTATCGCTCTGCTGACCATAATACAGAGGCGACATAAGCCTATACATGTATTTACTAATGACACTGTCAACACCAGAATTCTTTCAAAACACCCCTAATGAAAAGCATTTAGTTAAATAAGAGACATATTATCTTCAAACCCTATTAAAATTTGCGCAAAAATCTCCCATAGTTTGAAGTTGGAAGTACGATAGATAATGTCACAACAGAGACTAAAACACAATGAAATTTTCAATGAAAGCGTTAGCGTATCGAACAGCAGAAGGTCACGTGAGAAAGGTGATTATAATATCAATCGTTGATGCTCGGTGACCGGTTAATTTAGTAGCTATCTCGACCCTAGTTTGAGGACATTTTTTTTTAAAAATTAGATATGAGCCGCAACTTGGCCTACATTGTCCTTTGGATATGTTTTAGTTTAAGTTAAAATACACATTCTGTGCAAATAAGAAAAATGGCCAAGTTGCGGCTCGATGTAAACAAAGTCGTTGAAAACTGGTATGCATATGAATAACAATAGAAATGGGACAGAACTGTTAGACCCCCGTCTCAAAAGCTAGTGTCGCTCGGCATTATTTAATACTTTCATGTAATATAATATACCAAAACCTGCTATTGAGACATTGTTTAATACCTATAAAACATAAATTTAATGAATTTTGGAATTTTATTTTGCACAAAACATCGGGATCCAACTGTCATAGCTAAAGTCCAGTCATTCTTTTAGAGAATATACAAATACAATATAATTTTATGCATGTATTTGTTTGGAAAGAATGGTTTGGGACGGAGATTTTAATATTGTGTATTCAAACTGCGTTTTATTGCCAGCGAAAAATGACGTAAATCTTATTTAGCAATTCTTTTCAATTACTGAGTTCTCGAGTATTGTTTCAATTATGGATTCTGTAGAAGATCACGCCAGGCGATAGGACAATATGAAATCCATCTATCCTTCTGTATTCAATAATCCAGAAATGAAAAAAAAAAGAATTAGATAGATTACATGATCAGTACATGTACATACTGGTCCCTGTTGACAAAGCATATAACAACATCCTCTTCCTTTGTAAGGCTCATTTTATTAATAAAATTTGTATTTTAGAAGGTTTTTTTTATAACATGGATTTCATTCAACAAGTGGTAATCCCACTTATACTCATAGTTCCCTCTCTAAGGAAGAAATTCTTCAAAATCATACGTAAGTTTTGAGTATTTTTAGTAACCCAAAGAACCAAAATGGATTTGAACTACCATAGTTATACTGGATTCCGAAACTTCATAAAAATCCTTACAAACAAAGATACACAGCGGGTTCCAGTAAATGCTCAGCCAAGCCTCTTTCCATACTCCTCACTAAGATATTGACAGCAGTGAAGGGGAAACTTCAAGAGTACTGAGGAACGATAAAACATGTATTCGAGAATTTAAGTGGTATTTTGTTTTCAAAAAATCTGATTGTATCCAAAATTACTCTGTTGACTTTAAAAAGATGCTTGAGTTTTTGATTGACAATATGTACATGTATGTGGTTTTTGGAGACCAGGTCTTCCAAAGATATATTAGAATTCCCATGGGCACCAATTGTGCCCCTTTATTAGCAGACCCTTTTTCGCATTCATATGAAGAATAATTTGTCCAAAATCTCATACGTGAGATGGAAACACTTGCTGTGGCTTTCAACTCGACATTTAGATATATCGACAGCGTATTCTCAATTACAGTGTAACAATGGTTATGTTCATTCTGATGTCGATACGATATATCCCGGTGAGCTTGAGATAAAAGAATCTAACGCATCTCTTTCATATTTGGATATTTTACTTGAAAACGACGTTAATGGTAATCTAACGACAAAGCTCTATGATAAACGTGAAGACTTTAACTTTTCAATCGTCAGCTTCCCTTACTAATGCAGCAATATACTAGTACCTTCATCACCTGCATACAGAGTTTATATATCTCAGTTGATTCGATACGCAAGAGCATGCCCTATGTTTGAACAATTTCTAAAAAGAAAATTATTGAAACAAGAATACCAGCAGTCTCGTTTAAAGTCACCATAATTTTATTCTTAATACTTAGGAAAAGCGGCAGTCTTGTTGTGTATAAATGAAAAATATTATAACTATTATTCAGAAAATTCATAGTAGAAATGTTCGAAAGCAAAACATACACACAGTATATTGACAGTCCGTGCAGTTTTGGTGAGCAGACTTTAACAATTAAACGCTCCCGATGAATCGTAAACATCAACAATAACAGAGCTCGTGCCCTGTTTACAAAAACTTTGTACGTTTCATGGGTGTGATCAATTTGCTAAACTCTGTATACAACACTTGGCGCGGATTGACGATACTTGTGAAGGGATTTTGCTTTCTAACATTTCTACTCTGAATATAATTATTTTCCTGGATTAAAATTTTAATATTTTTCATTAATACACAACAAGATTGCCACTTTTCCTAAGTATTAAGAATAAAGGTAAAATTTATAAGAGTGATAGGATGTGTCAATCAAACCCATCCAAAAATTTGAAGTTTCAATAACTTTGAGATGAAATAAAATTTTTAATAAATTTTTGTGTGAAATGCTATTGAAATATAGAAGTCGTGATATTATGAAGAAAATATTAACTTCAAATCTGTGTCACTGTACCTTTAACACCTGATAAATATGCATTATTATACGGAAAGCCAGATTTTTTTAAAAAAAATATCCACTGAAAAAGAGTTACACCATTTAGAAAAATTATTTTGAATAATAATAATTATATTTAACAAACAAAAGAGGCACAAATGTAATTTTTACACCCTGTGTGTTTTTTTTTATTTGTTTATTAATGATAAGTTTTTTTTTTGCCTTTTAGAAACCACATTAATTAGATTCTGTGGTATTCAAAGAAACTAAATTGACAAGCGTTAGTATAGAAATTTTCAATTTCATATCAGCTTCCAGACTAGAAAAAAGTGTAATAAAGCTTGAACATAGACACTTCATCTATTAAAAAAACTTATTTCATTGGAATTTTCGTCTGGGATATGGAAGTACCTCAACACGTGACACAGGCGTGTGGTTCGTATATACATGTATATACATGTATGGCACGATTCGCGTTATTCACTTTATATTTCCATTTCTAATTTTTTTTCTCTGTGATACCTCTTGGAAAGTTAGCGGAGTTGATATCTTGATAATTCTACCGGAATGTAAATTAGGCAGGTCGATAGGTCAAGAGCCATCTTCTCTGTGTCTGACGCTCATGAGGCCAAATATGCATGTAAATCTCGTGCGGCTGCCTTTGCGTTTGACGTCAGTGGCCGAGGACTATTGAAATTGACATGGGAGTCGTGTAATTTTAATCTATGTCTACATTTTTAAAATCTAAATCTACAATTATTTCACAATGAAATGGAAATATAAGGAATCACTGTCTCGTTAGTATAAGCCCGTTAAGCAAATTATCCCATGTTTCCCACTATCGTTGATGCCCTGGCATACTTACTAGACAGTGATTCCTTAAATAACTTCATTATAGAAAGGCGAAATATTCACTTCACCTGCAATCATTATTACAAAAGCTTTAATTCGACTTAAAAAAAGATGGAATCAAGGTAGAAAAAGAATGAAGTGACTTTGCCATTGATTATTGACGATGTCGAAAGTAACATTTGTAAATGGAAAATTGAAATTAAATTTAAATATTTTATTCCCAGATGTCAAAGAGAATAGGATTGCATAGCAGGTTCAGCCTTAGCTGCAGAACTGTAGCTCTGTGCTTGAGAAAATTCGGACAGATAAAGCAGAGAGCTACAGATCCAAGCGTTGTAAAAACATTCGATTTACGCCGACGATTTTTTGTCGCTACTCTAGGTATCGATTTCGAGTAGTAAAAGCTTTCTATGGTTTTTAGAATGGTATCCTATCATTAATCATATATTTAACGCTTACTTTTGATACTAGTACTTTATTTACCTTTGAACGGTATACGAAACAGTCCTGTAAATAATTTTGTAATGTCGGTTTAAAAGAGTTCCATTTCGACGTCCGTAACCACAAACAGCCATTTGTTAGCGTTGACAGGTAAGTAAATTATCCAGAATACAAGTTAAATGTATGATTAATT